TTCGCGACAAAGGGGACAAACTTCTGTCTGTAATTGATGAACACAATTTGCATGGAATAAATGTCCGCCACTATTTTTTAATGTTGCCGCGCTTCATATTACTCTGACAAATAGCGCACACATCTTTGAATTCCATAATAAAGAAATAAAATAAATTTTAAACACTAATTCAAACGCAGGTTCAAAAACAACTAAATTTGATAAATACGTGGCAGAAAATATAATGTATTTTGCAAAGCCTACTATTGTTTTTAAAAAATTTGCTTTTTGCATCATGAACTTTAATGTATGTATTTAAATTTAATTCATGTAGATTATTGATTTTTTTCATGATTGATTTTTATTTATTCTTTTAAAAACCGCAAATATATATATATATATATATATATCTTTTATGAATTTGTTATGTATATATATATATATATGTGTGTGTTAGTTTTTTAGTATTATTTTCACTACATAAAAAAATCTTCCCCACTAATTATTCAATTTATTTATTTTATTCGAATTTGAAATAAAATGTTAAGAATTTGAAATGAATTTATAATAAAACAATTTACAAGCGAAATTTTATGAATTTCAAATGAAACTATACGAATTTCAAATAAAAAATTACAAATTACAAATGAAATTCTTAAAAATTGAGATGGAATTTTTTGAATTACATATAAAAAGTTCAATATTACAAATGAATTGTTGTGAATTGCAGATTAAATACTCGAATTACAACTGAAATGTTATGAATTGCAAATTGAATTTTCGAATTACAAATTAAATTCTCAAATTGCAATTGAAATGTTTTGAATAACATTTGAAAAAGGTGTAGTTGTGTGGGGTATAATAAGAAATCAATTTTGAATTGTGCCATTTTACCGCGATAATACAACGATACGCTTATTTGAAGATTTGCTTAATGATACCTTCTGAAGGAAAGAATTGAGATACAAAACTAAAATATTGGTTTCGAAATTGAGCTATTTCGGTCATTATGCATAGCCCCTCATATAATGATAACTCAAAATATTCGCTAATTTCTAGCTATGTAATCAATAGTGGTCCCCACTTAGGCATAGTCTAAGCAGTTTGAGCATTTTATACACATGTTCCACTCTACCATGCGTAATTAATATCGGTCCACGTTTTGGGGTTTTCAAATTTGAAGAAAAATACCAATTAAAACCCGTTGAAATTTTTATTTGCTGTACATAATTTTTTACATAATCCGGTTTGTAAAACTGTCGATATAGGTCCAGTTTTTGACATATTCCTATATTCTATATTTTCATTTCAAGTACCAGTATATGTATGGTGGAGGGTACTCAACTTTCGGCCCGGCCGAACATTTAACTTTTTTCACTTGTTAATGTCGAATATTAGATCAGAATATTTTACATATATCGTATTAAAAGTAAATAAGTAATTTACTTCAATGAATGTACATACCTAAAAATTACATTTTAAATATATCACCTGGTAGAACCATGTGCGTTATCACGTTGCCATACATAAGGTTTTATCCTTATTCAACATGTATTTTTTCCGTAAATACATCTTATTTAAAAATCATATCCTTCCTGCTGTTCAAATTGATGTCAAGTTGCAATAAAGGTGAAATAAAAGTCCCCATTAAAATATAAGAGGATATTTTATTAGCCATCCTTACGAATACCCTTTACACTGCTCACTCTCTCACTTGTCCACCTTTTCGTATAAGTAGAATGGTTCTATTTTTATATTCGATATGCGAATCAATAAATATGAACAAATGGCGTGAAAGGCTCACACCCATTGCAATACAGCAAACAAACAAACGTAGAGTAAAGAATGTCTCGATAAATCAGCCACCACCCCACCACGAACAATACCACCCCCATCATCATTGATGGCAATATGCAATCGAAAGGACATCAATGTTGACACAGACAAACACAGAGAAAATATGTTCAAACAATAACAAAACGATAGCAGCGGCAGCAACAGTAACCGACGAAGACAAAGATATCGTAAGAAAAACAAATATTCTAAGGATTTAAAAGTAAAAATAATGGCAATGTTGCAAAGGCTAAAATAACAGCAACAACCACTGAATACTATGAAAAAAAGGACACATGCACACGCACACACAAACGTGTTTATGCATTACAATCCACTCAGCTATCGCTTGCGAAGAAATGTAAACATAAACCGAAATTAATGTAGGGTGGGGACACAAGCAATTTACGCCGTTGTAATCTCTCTCTAGTCTAGATATATACACAGTATCCCTGTCATTCCCTCTCTTTACTTTATACTCGTGTTTACATTCGCACACAGATGTAATGAAATGACAAAAGGATAAATCAGCTTGAAAATCCAAATTGATACGCAATGAAGGTGATTTCGTTTGATAAGGACGCTTTTTGGGGGATTGAGAGAGTTGGAAGAAAAGAAGTTGCCGCATGTACCGTTAAATTCGTTTGCAACACCACTGGCATGCATGGGTATATGTATTTGTGCGTGTGCGGTGCGCTCACACCCACCCACAACCCCCAAAAATGGGTTAACCATTGTAGAAAGAAATAAGACGAGAGAGAGAGAGAGAGAGTGAGAGCGAAATAAGACAGGAGAGAATTAGTGGGAAGTGTATGTGTGTGTTTCAGGGATGGGAAATTAAATTCAACAGTAATTCAATGAAAAATCGAAAGAACTCCGTTCATAAGATTGATTAATGAAATTGGGAATACGATTAAAAATTGATGAAGATCAAAAAAACGGGAAATGGGTGGTTTTTTTATTTTTTTTTATTATTTTATTTTATAAATTCTAAATTCTTGTTTTTTCCCTTTATAACATTCCAGTAGAAGGTGTCTTGCAGACAACATTAACGAATCGTGTAAGACAATGACAATTCCTTGAAGACACTTTTTTAGACAACACTGTGAGATCGTTGACGAAATTTTCACACAAGTGCGCAGTATTCATGCAAGACAACTTGTTCGACAGGGTAAGCGATACTGTCGTTGACGATCACTTCGGCAACTAAACTCCCCACTTTTCGTTAACGACAGATTCACTTACTAAATTTTCACACAGGTCTTAAAATTATGAACAAGTAAAAATGTCGCTGGGCCGAACATTTTATATCCTCCACCATGAATATGACATTCAAAATACTTTTAGTTGAAATGTCGGCCTTCCTAATTCGAATACTAATCCTGGCCGTGCCAAAGAACCGTATCGCTTGAACTTTCAAAAGAAACGATACCAGCAATCATGTCATACGATTTGAGAACATCGAGACCACTTCTCTCCGGTCAATGTTGAATCGTTGGATAATAAATTATATGTGAGGGCGCTAAAACCCGATAGAGTGAAACAAAGAATTCCCCAGAGTGAGTTGATTTCTCAAAACGGCACACACCTTACAAGGAACAGAGACTTCTACAGATTCTCAATTTGTTTGTGAATATTCATTTGATTTTTTAAAAAAACATGTCGACAAATTTGACTTTTCAAGATCGTCTTTCTTTATAAATACTTGGTTTATTATCCCAAAGTTCAAATTGCCCCAAAATTACACATTCTAGAACATAATTTTATCTGTTGACGGATTTTGCATCGGTCGATAAAAGATGAAAATCGATTTTGAACAGGTTTGACAAAATCGTAAAGTCTACTTTTTAGTAATGGCAAAATTTTAAAAATCTAATTTTTGGTCAGAAGCAAAGATCGGACTACTTACCCCTAATTCAGAATGGTACAGTCGTATCAATTCAGATTTGTCACAAAATTTTTTCCCAGCATGCGGTACAGGTCTGCACACCACGTTGCATTTATTCAATTACCTCTGGAAGCTTACCTTACTTTCTCCAGGTGATGTGCGGTGGCAGTCAGTTCCATTAACTGCATTTCCAAATTTGAAGACTAATTCAGATTCTGGATGAGATTAACAGAAAAATGAAAGTTTATTATACAATTTACAAAAAATGTGACTAGACTATATCAAAATCTAAACCGATTTCACACAAAACTTAACATACGTTGAGTACTTGATGATGACGAAAACAAATATAAGAGCTATATTCAATCCAATTTGACAAAACATTATAAATAAAAACATTATATGAATGATCATTCCCTATAAAAAGACATAAAACTAAAAAAATCAGCTTAAGCCCGACTGGGATTCGAACCCTGGTTGCTATGGAATCTCTCAAATGTTGTCCGACGCTTTAGCGTTCGAAATCACCTCCTTAACTTACGAAGATTCCACAATGTAGGTTGTATGAAAGAAAAATTGCTCTAAGAAGCTATGTTCAAATTTGGTACACTTAATACATTTAGAACACATATCGACTACATAAGTTTATCCACTCTGCTATCTCTCATACAAATTGAAACAATTTTGAAAATATTTTCTTAATTTGAATACATGTTTTTCGAAATGAATGTCGTCAAGGGATTACCCATTCCGTCTTTGTTGAAATGATTTTAGTTCAGCAAAAATTCACAATACCTTTTCAAAAAATATTGATAACACTAATACTACATTTCCATCCCTGATATGGGGGATAACGTAATTATCCTCCCATTGAGAATGTTAGTGTATTTAAGAATTGGCATGCGCATTACGAATGTGTTATAAATTAATAATATGATAATTTACCTTTAAATAGAACAAAAATATAAATATTTATATTAATTAAATTAAAGATTAAACTTTAAATATTTCACATGAATTATTGCCATATAAAATCAATATATTTTCCCTAACAAATCTCTCACAAACTTTAACACTCTCTATATCTCCCTTTTCCTCTGTCTCTCTCTCTCATTACAAAATATACTTCTCCACATTTCTACATGTTTATGTGCGAGAAAGAGAGTATTTTGGAAAACTTTATCTACGAACTATACAGACTTTCCTTCAAATATCCTTTCTACGTAATTTTTAGTTCCAATTCAACCACAATTCGAATAGGTTAGCCACAAAATCGTATTATTTGCCCAAAACAAACCAACAAAATTCCATTAGGAAAAAAATCAATTAAAAAATATATATAAAAATAAACGAAAAAAGTATTACTTGGAACGAGGAATTGTTTATAAATAATTCATTTATAAGCATAATTGGTAAGTTTCTTCTACGTCTTTGAAAATTGCACCTTCCATGAATGAGTAAAGCGGATTTTGTATCCTAATGGAAAAGAACATTCAATAATTACTAGCAGACATACAGACGACTTGTGTCTACATCAAATGTATAGAATTTGTGGAAAAATTGATTTCTTTTTTGTGCTGCTGCTTCTTCGTCCTTTTCTGTTCCGAAAAAGCCAATTACTCACACCCTTCGTGTCAGGTAAAAATCCTGTATGTATACAAACATACTGTCGACTGTCTGTGTAAACAATGGGGAATTAGTGTGAAAAAATATTAACCAATTATTTGAAATAACTTTAAGTGGAATTATTTCGTTTAGTGGATGATATTACCTTATATTGGAGGTAAAATGAAGTGATGCCCTTACATGATGGATATTCAGTTAATAAATATTAATATAAATTAAATACTAAATAATAAATTGATGTGGAGAAAACTATGAAAATTCAAAACTTCAGACGGACTAGTAATCAGTAGAAAAAGTGATCCTATTTAGAAATTTTAAATAACAAAAAGGGTGTTAAGAAGACTATAATCATTGCAATAGTGGAAATCCAAAAGAAAATCCATATGTTTAAAAAACATTTACAGCAGAACAATGTCTATATATTTTAAAATGAATTTCTTGGCAAAATGTTGCAAGATGGCCAAAATATCTCACTGGATATCAATAACTAAAATCGATCAATCCAACAGAAAGGATTACATTTACAATATTATAGCCTAGACAGACGACAGCCTTAATTTGCATTAACAGCCTTACTTCAAATTAACTTGTACATTATCCTCATTTTTATATGTTGTTAATGCACAAAATCAAACTGAATTAGACAATTTCAAATTTATATATATTTATGAAAATAAAAATAAAAAATGAAGGCAAATTTCAACTCTCGTCTGTCAGGAGTAAATATTAATTAAAATTAAGAAATTTTTAATGCAAATTAAGGCTGTCGTCTGTCTATGGTATTATAGGCAATATGTACAGAATTACTTCAAAATATCCGGATTTCGCAGTCATAGGGATAATACGACAAATTCAACCACACCTGTGTAATCCAACTATTCTTTGCCAACTTTCTATATTTTCAAAATTGCAGCCTTTGTGAGAATTTTGTGAAATTTTTAATGGATAAATATTGGTTCTATAACCATGTTTCTTTGGACCAATTCAGTTTCAAAAAATTTAGATTTCATCCAAACATTGACCATCTTATTATTTCTTCCAATCTTTGTTCAAATTCGAAGATGGGGAATATCGATCCACTCCTTCTGGAACCTCCACACAGGGGCTATTTGTAAATGCGGGCTATAGTTTATTATCGAACATTACGTTCTACTTTTTTATCTCGATATCCTCCGCACGTGAAATGATTACATCAGAGTCTTAGAACCAAACTCAAAACGCGGAACAAATCATAGATATCTGATTTGTTGTTAATATAAAAAGGGGCGAATATTAATAATTTTTGATAGGGAGATTTGTTACCATATACGACTACAAAGTACCAAATTACAACGAATTCGGTTGAAAACCGCGCTCGAGATCCCCACAATACCTAAATTATGGGATGCCCTTATATGGAGGCTTCCCGAAAAAATGGACGTATATATAATTTTTTGTGGAGAGATTTGGTACCTATTAAGAACTCAAAATACAAAATTACAGCCCATTCGATGTAAAAATCCGGTCAAAACCTTGCAAAAACTGGACTTATATTTATAATTTTTAGTGGAGATATTTGGTGTTCAATTTACCAAATTTCAGCGAATTCGGTTGGAAAACGCGTTCAAGAACCCCAAAATTCCGAAAATTGAGGGGTACCCTTATATGGGAGCTATGCCTAAAGGTGGACCGATAAAGCCCACCTTCGAACTTAACCTGCCTGCAGACAAAAGACGACTCTTTTATCGATTTATCTCAATTCGTTTAGACGCTAGAGTGATTACAACAGACAGACAGACGAACATGGCTACATCGTCATAGAATTTTACGCTGATAAAGAAATGATTATTTCGATGAGTTACAAACGGAAAAACAAAATTAATATACCCTCCATACTATGGTGGAGGGTATAAAAAAGGGGTTGTATGGGGGCGAATATTAATATTTTTCGGTAGAGAGAAAGTTTGTATCGCCGCGAAATATTGGTTCTAGACCCACATTTTAGTATACCGATCGTCATATCTCGACTAGCTGAGTCGATCTAGACATGTGTGTCCGTCCGTCCGTCTGTCCATTATAAATTGTAAACACGATACAGGCCACAGTTATGGACCAATCTTCACGAAATTTTGCATGTAGGATGGGTTCTGGCCAAAGAATAGGCATGCCTGTTTTTATAAAAATCGGTCAATATTTTAGTCAAATGGATCCTGACTGTTGTGTTATAGAATACAAAATTTGTATTCTATAGCGTATGTATTTACCCCTGATGGACATAGACCCGAGAAGTTGATATTATATCCAAGAGGAGTGGTTGACCTTTAAATTAATACCAATTATTTTGTTGTATGCTCTCGGACGTGGGAGTTACACCTAAATATTTACAGATATCTCCGTATTCGTATATTATTTAGTAACCCATTATCACTTTGAAATGTTCCATGAGGTTCCAGTTATGGTCAATGACAACGCCTACAATTTTCGGTGTTGATCAGATTATAATTTTGGAATGAAGTGGACCGAAAACTTAATTTTTTGTGTTATTTTCGAGTCGATCTATAGACCACAAATGAAAGTCGAACATCACAACACAACCCTCGGTAAAGGGAATCTGGACAATGGCTGTACTGAATACTCGTAATATTAGGAAAATATGTCAGTGTGAGGAAGAGGTGCTGTTTATCCCTAATCGGGCAAGATCACGAAATATTGCCTAGGCTCGGAATTAACATCCGCAGAAAATTTGAGTTCCGTGGTAGTTGTGTAGGGTATCGTATGATCGGCACCGTCCGACTATACTGCTCTGCTCACTGTTTTTTTTTTTTTTTTTTTTTGTGGAGAGATTTGGTACCTATTAAGAACTCAAAATACTAAATTACAGCTAATTAGGCGGGAAAATACGATCAAAACACCCGAAATACTGAAATTAGGAGGTACCGTTATATGGGGGCAACCAGAAAAAAAACGATTCTATGCAAAATTTTGGAGATATATCTCAATTCGTTTAGACGCTAGAGTGACGGAATATATATACTTTATAGGATCAGAAGTGATTATTTCGATGCGTTACAGACGGAAAAACAAAATTAATATATCCTCCCTACTATGGTGGAGGGTATAAAAACAAAAAATATATACGCAAAATTTATTTTGAAAAAAAAAGTTCGATAGAAAAGTAATTTGATCCAATTTTTGCTTGGTCAAAACTAAAGCAACTTCTTATTTGATTTCTTATAAATATATGAATTTTGCTAGTAATGGACAGTATAACTATTATTATTGACTCCCCCAACCAATCTTCGACATGTTTCGGTGTAGATTTGATGTTATTGTCAAGCTGAAACGCCCAAACAAGCGGAATTTTTTTCTTCACCGAAGGAAACTGTAGCGTTTTAAACAAATTTCAGTAAACAATCCGATACATTACATCATATTTCTCGTAAATATATCGAACTCTATAAACAGGAAAAAAGCTTTCTTTATATTTTTTGGGCATGTATACCTGCTACCATATCTCGTCCACTCTCTGTTCTTGAGGTTATATGCAAAGACAAGCCAATTCCATTGAACTCTTAAATGGATATTTTTTACTGCTTTGATAATTTGTTGATTAGTACGAACTGATGTTTTCGTCTGCCTCCCTCCGCGTTGAACTGTCACTACTGATATAGATGATAAAACCTACTTATAATTTGAAAAATCGCGGATACTTTTTTGTACTGTCGAGTTTGCTCATTTTTGTCCAAGCAAAAATCGACTTTCGATATTTTGAAGAGTTTTGGCACGCTTTTCAACCAAATTGTCTGTAATTTTATATCCTGGTTTTCATTAGGTTTAAGTGTTTCAAATAAGAAAGTACTGATCAATATCAATGCTTGTTGTAATTTATTTGTTAATGTTCAGCGATTTCCACTGAATTAAAACACAGGGTTGTCAAACTTTATTTACAGCACGCAAACTTTACCCTTATGACGACACTTAACAACTGAGCTGACGATATTTTACAGACTGAGATTTTCTTTATAACTGACGGGCGATACTCTACAAATTGGTAATGATTTCTATGTTACATTTTCTTTTATACTTTCGTATTTTATTCCAGAAACTTCTAAGTCTAAAATATATGTGTTGCCAATTATTCAATCAATCACAGTATTCAGCAATGCTCCCAAAAGCAATAATAGGAAATAAAGTATATGGGGGCTAACTACGAATGTAGACCAATATTGGCCTACTCCGAAAGCATGATAAAACATATGAAAATTCTTGAAATTGCGAATTATTCTAGGAAGAATGATTTAATGCTTTATATTTTCGCAGCAGATAGATTGAAAAATTTTATACGGTATAAAATTTAATAATACATCAATACTTTTAATAATAATAATAACCAATTTTTCCTGTTGCAAATGTCTGCTTTTGTAGGGATTCCTGGTCCTGCATATATTCCTGAGATCTATAGCTTCTGCGTGATGGTGTCATACACAAGCCAGATTTCATTGACGTATAGCAGAATCAATTTTACATAGACTTTGTCCATTTTAGACTCGTTTGTCTCGAAGACAAATCAGTCAAAAGATCTTAAGAGACTGACTAGCAATGTTGGGTCTGAAATTAATGTTAAAAAACTAAGGCCAGAAAACATCTAGCTACAAGGTGTAGCAGCTACAAGGTGTAGGTCGATAAATTCTGCTATCTAGGAAGCACTGTAACAACAGCAATTACTTGGCTAATTATTGGTGAGAGACGACTGCAATTCTGCATAGAGAAGCTCAACTGTGTATAGAGAAGATCTGTTAAGATCTTTAAATTTTGACTGATTTGTCTTCGAGATTTTGTCAGCAAGCCTTTTTAATGAAAACAGACTTCATTCCCTCTGAAGCCATCCATGTCCTAATGGGTCGAATTGAACATTTAAACATAGCCCTTATATGACAGCACCCCAATTTTCAGTATTTTGTGGATTTTGGACTTATTTTCCTAGAGAATTGGTTTTTAATTAATATTTTTAATTATTATTGGATGGCAAATTCGGTATATTGGATTCTCTCTATACCAAAAATTTTTCAACGTTTTGGTGGGTGTTCATATGATATAATTTTTTATATCATCAGTCATATGGCTATATACAGTTTGATACCCCAAATATGTGCCTAATCGAAATATTGGATTTAGACCTATGTTTCTTTGGACCATATCCGAAGGTGTCTGGAAGGTTCGCACGATGAATCTCGAAGAGAGTAATTTTTACAAACTTTTTTCCAAACTTAAATCAAATTCAGTGATGAGAATATAGGTTCAATTCTTCTGGTACCTCTACACAAAATGATCAAAAATTTACTGAAAATAATTTTTATTATTATTTTATGATATCCGATTTGAACTAAACTTTACACTACTTAATATTATAACCATGACTGTATAATGATGAAAGTTGGGACTTATCTCACTCCTCCTATTCCACAAGAAGTCAATATTTTGAAAACTTGTACATCTCATATGAAGCGAACGGAATATCCCCTTTCATCGACACTTTGCACAATATTATATTTTTACCGCATTTATATTTCGTCCGAAGATGGGACACGTGTATCTACACAATCTCGTAGCACCCACAAGTGTAAACATTTTTCACATTTGTTAATCCAATATCAGGCGATTTGAATGTTCGGTTTGATCCAAAGTTTGCAAATTGAAATATTTTACCAAACCACTCTCCATTCCACTCTCTTTGGTACCTCCAAACAGATTCGAAACTGATTCTTGTTTAATATGTACCATAATCTTATAAAGAGCTTATGCCTATTGATAAATGACGAACTAACCATCAATTAAATGCATGCCCACCATTCATTAATTCCACTAAAATTACTGTGAATTATTTTTCATTATTTGTTGTTTCTTGTCCTTTGCAGGCAGCCACAATGCTGGGTAATTGTGTTGGTAATTGCGCGTTCAGTGCACCACCACCCCCTGACTCAATACTGTCGATGCCGCCACCCCCTTTACCCTCTTTTCTGCTACCGAAAACTGCAGCTTTGCTATCGCCCAACAATGATTCGCATCCATGCTTTGCCACTCTGATGTGCGATCCAAATCCGCATCCACGCGAAAGTGGCATGGAGTTTGTTGAACTAACTGGCACGAATACAGGGCTGGAGAATACATGGCTATTTGTTTTGATTTCGTCGTGTGTTGGTGTTCTCATATTGGGTGGACTGTTGGCTGTTATATTGCTCAAGTGTAGAGAGTAAGTTTGTACAGATGAATGTTTTTCTTTTTTTTTTTTGGAATAATTTAATATTTTAATTTCTTCTATTTCGTATCAAATTACAGCACGCTTTTCTCTAGCTGCAATTTGTCGTATCACGATAGCAACATTAAACAGGGCACCATGTCTGCCTTGGGTGAACCTTCGAAATCAAATCCCTTCATGGCCGGTGGTATTTTATACCCCTGTACCTCGGTGAATACACGTGACACGCTACAAAGTCAAATGGCCAGCGACAGCCGTCTGTTGTGGGCCACTCTAACACCGCATGGCACTCGACACTTCATCACCGATTATCCGGCCAGTACAGTTCCCGAATCGAATGGCCATTATGAGGTGGTAGATTATCGTAGTAAAACGCCAAATCAACCATATCGTGATTATGTCAAGCGGACACCTATTAAGGTATGTATGTATGTAATGGAGTATAATTTATTTGAATAATTCAATGTGGAAACGAAATACAAGGATATGTCAACATTTGAGAGAATTGCGTGGAATAATTTATTATAAATTTTTACATTATATTTTGTTTTTGCAAAATAGTCAGGCTGAATCCCAGTTTGTTGTTTTTATAAAAAAAAACAACTATTTATTAGTGGGGTCGTATCGCTGGTAACGTAAGAACTTCGAATTGTCACAAGAGACATTTGGGTTTGAAAGGTTTTTGTAAAGAAGCTATTAATAGCTTCTGGGGAGAATATCCTAACAAAAAACTAAGGGAACTGATGAGGATCAGTGGCGAGATCCGAAACTATAGTCTTCCCTGCCTTACCCCTCGGCGGACAATGCCATACATTCCCCACTAATAAATAGTTGTTTTTTTTTTATAAAAACAACAAACTGGGATTAAGCCTGACTATTTTGCAAAAACAAAATACAAATGGTATCCCAAATAACCCGCCAAACACTACTTTTTACATTATATTTAATATAAAATTTTGGAATTGTGCCATTGAAGTTGTTATCGACTTCTCAAAAAGAAATTTAGCTAACAAATTTCCTTGACATTCTCAATGTTAGAAAACAAGTTAAACTTTCGTTTTACATTTTATAGGCCTGAGCCAATGTTCTCAATCGAGTCCGTGGCTGATGTATGCTTGGCACAAACTGACAATAACTCTAATCCTTCTGCCTAGTTCCATGAGATTGCCATTGTATATCTCCTGTTTGATGATTATTCTTGGAGACTGAGTTCTTCTCAAGGCGGTAAAATTCCAATCAAATGTCTGTTTCGGCCCACCTTATATCCCATCCTATCTTGCTTTCGAGAAAATCGGTACTCGGTACCTTTATTTGTTTTGTATTTAAAATGGCATGTGGACGGTACCCCAAATATTCGGCAATTCGAACCATATAGGTACGTTTGTCATCCTAATCATGTGTAGTTTGGTATTTACACTAAAACATGTAAATATGGGTCCAAAATTAAGTGAGAACCCAAAATTAAAGTGGATTAGTTTTAAAAACGTTCCCAATAGCTTCGAAATGCCGAAAATAGAGGGGGATGACCGTTAGGGTAGCCCCCACATAACTGTCATCCCCCTCTATTTTCGGCATTTTTAAGCTATTGGAAACGTTTTGAAGACTAATCGACTTTAATTTTGGGTTCTCATTGGTAAGGTTTAGAGTACCAGCCATCGTTACTGACCCAAATTACCGGGTAGCCCCCATGCAATGGTAGCCTGAACTTTTCAGCCGAACTGACTAATTGACCCTTCTGGAATTAGTATTAGGGGGAGAAAGCCGACGACCATCTTCGGAATTTATCTAGGCTTGTTAAAGATACTAGTTGTGTAAAGTTTGGTTCAAATCTAACATTCCTTTCGCCTGATATGCGATATTCACCGTCTACGCCCATCTGCTTGCCCAAATACCCATGCTTCAGGTCCATACACCAGTATCAGCATCTTGGAGACTGTGAGTTTGGTCTGCGAACATCTGTTGCCCAACACTATTCTTCTCAGAATTTCAAATCTGGTGTCATTAGTTTTATTTATGGCGGTACCAAGGTATTGGATCGGACTAAATTGCTTACATAGAGTAGCATCTGTTGGCCAACACTATTCTCCTCCGAATTTCAAAATTGATGTCATTAGTTTTATTTATGGGGGTACCAAAGTTTTGGATCGTATTATGTTCGCATGGAATTTTAAAATTATTTTCATGAATTTTTACCATTTTGTGGGTGCCAGAAGGAGTTAACCGATATTACCCATCTTCTAAATTAAATAAAATTTGGATGGGATATTACGATGTGCAAAGTTTCAATGAAATCGGTTATCCCCGTTCGATAGTTATCGTACGCACCAACCAGACAGATGGATGGACATTTGTAAATCGACTCCAAATTGTCTGAAACAGATATTTTGATTAGGCACATGTTTGCCGTAGCAAAGTGTATGTAGCTTCATTAGCCATAAGGCTGAGGGTATTACTTAGTAATGCTGCCCTAAAGCGGTGCCGAAGGCTTCTTGATGATAATGTTTTGGCATAGCCCATTAAACATAGCGTCCCATTATCATCATGTTTAAGGTTTTAGCCGCATTTTCCCGAGATATTGGGAGGTAAAACACAATTTGGTGGAAAAATTCCTATATATCAAAACTGGGAGCTTTATCAATCCCATGCAAAGATCCCATTCCATTTTGGGTATTATTATGAATTAATCGAAATGGCTATAATATGGCACATCGGATTCCTGGTAAATAAAAACCTACTATCCAGGAATTATTCAATATATGTGTAAATGTTTTACAATAATCCCCATAGAAATGTCCTGTTTAATTTTCGGTAAGTTGAATAATTTTGACCAAAATATTTTCGGAGCATGAACAACGTATAATCGTCTCGACAGATATAAGGAATTTTGAATGCACACCACGTGGTGGAGCTTAACTATTTTTTTACTTGTTATAATCATATGTCTTGAAAAATTAACTAATCTGTTATCTTCATTTCCCTTCCAGTCCTTCGACAACAATGGCTTCATTGATTACGACTATGAGGACCCCACACCTTTAATGGATTCCTATCATGACGATATGGATTCGGGCTACCAAGAACCCCAAGAAGTTTTGAATTCAATGCAAAGAGTATCACCACGGCCACGAGTCTCTTCACCCACTCGCATTGATAATCCAAATATGGCTCCGCTCAACTACTACCCATCGAATCCACGTAATTACAGCAACACTTCTCATCATCAGGCCTCAGCCAACAACTCACTGCAACGTCCGACTAATCTGAGTACAGCTGCAACATTAAATCGTAAAACGACAACAAGTCGACGTATTAGTGATGCCTCAACCTATAATGGGCAAAATATCTAAAGGAGATCACAGAGAAGGAATTGGAACTTGGCATAAATGTTATTTGTCAAAGTTTGGAATTGTGTTTCCTGAAGGCAGAAACACACGCAAAGAAGAACAAAAAAGAATTGAAAAACAGGAATTTTTAAAGGAGGAAACGCACAGTTGGAAGTTACAACGAAATACGAATTTTTGCAACAACAAGAACAGCAACAAAACGCATACCAGCCACAACCGGATACTAAAACAATAAGACGATGACACCAAAGACAAAATAAAAATTCTAATCAAATAGCAATATTTTAACAAAAAACAAAAACTACGGCAACAACATTAAAAGAAACCCTAAGAAAAAATACTCTTACATATATAGATAACTTATATAAACTAAGTGCGAATACTCACAAAAAAACACATCGTTCGTTTTTTCATCTCCAAAACTGTTTCCATCTTAAAAATCAACTCAAAACTAAAAAAACAATGGAATTAAAACAAAATAGTTCTAATTTTTAACACGCTTCAAACTCTGATATACATACAGACATATAGCAATATTATACTCAAATTTAAAGTATTAAAAAAAACAAAAGGCAACAACAACTACAACCAAAAATACACTATAATTTTAAGCATTAGCATTAGAACTAATTAATATAAATGCATAAATTATATATTCGTTGTAAGAAAATCCAAAATATGTCTTTGAAAATTTAAATGAAAATGATAAATTAAATTTCAATATAGCTAAGGTCCACAGTGTGAATGATTCGTCCATAAGCCGTTCTAAAAAAGCGTCGTTACGATCTTTTACATATTTCGTTTTTGGGACATATTAAGCATCACTTGACATTCTAGCTCAAGGCCTATAAATAAGGTCATCCAGAGAGATCAGCTGCATATTCGCTGCTACTCAAGTTTGCTGTCAATAGCCATTATTGTGAATTGAATTCCATTATGAAAACGTAAACCATGGCCTATCAATAAGGTCCTCCAGGGAGACCATATGGGTCATGGCACAATAAATATGTAGTCCATTTAGCGCAGCTGATGTCTCAGTTAATCGTCAAAGTGCGTATTTTCCACTTGAATTCGATGTACAATGTTGTCAACCATGTGAAATATTATATGAAAACATTTGACAGATGGTCGAGACAAAAACAAAGCTTTTTGTTTTGATACATGACCTTATTATTGCACCATGAGCTGGATATCAGTTGCCTCTCAAGTTTGCTGTCAAACCTCATTATTGTGAATTGACTTTCATTATGAAAACGTAAACAAATTTCTAATTTTTGACATTAAGCTTGAGTAGAAACAGCTGACTTCCGCTAGCTGGGTGACTTTATTAATAGATCTTAACGTACACAAAGCCCAAAAACAGCTGATCAAGCCCTATAAATAGGTTATCCAGGGAGACCAGCTGGATATCAGCTGCCTCTTAAGTTTGTTGTCAAACTCCATTATTGTGAATTGACTCCCATTATAAAAACGTAAACAATAGCCAACATTTTGACATCAGACTTGAGAAAAACAACTGACTTTCCCTAGCTGGGTGACCTTATTAATATATTTTGCAGCTGATTTTCGCTTGCTGGATGACCTTATTATCAAATAAATCTTCATAAAGTAGGTTAAACCGTATTGATTGCCATTTGCATTCGAAGAGCTCGACTGTTTACTTTATGATTCGTCAGCAGTTTTTCACAGTGTTAAAGGGTGGTACATCAGATTTATCTTAGCCGATTGTGATGAAAAATGTTCACGCGTTAATTCCTTTTTTGGAAACTTGAAGTCACTGTAAAGAACACAGCACATGGTCGTCATGCGTCAAATCGTTCTGATTACCTTTAATACTGAAGGTACGTTTAGATTTACGAAATTCACTCGATCTCAAATGTTAACTCCATTGCTTATACGTCAAATATAATCCACTGGATTTGTGAACAGGATTAAGGTGACGTATACGCAATGGAATTGACATTTAAGATTGAGTGAATTTAGTAATCTAAACGTAGCCTAAGTGTCAATGTTAAAAAAATGGCAATCTGTCCCATCAGAGTACGAATAGATAGAACAGATTTTACAGTTGTGTTACCGGGAAATTGCGAATTCCTACCAGAAATAGTTTCGCTCATTTACTTTCCCAGTAAATATTTACTCAGTAAGAATTTGCAAGAGTAAATACAAATTTCTCGTTCTCATGAGACAGAATTGCAAAAAGTAAACGAATAACATCCAGTAACAAGATTGTATCGACACAGCTGATTAAAACAACAAACTATTTGGCGCAAAGAGAAAAGTAGGATTTTATATTAGAAAAAAATTATAACAACCAAAAAATGTATGTTGTTTATAAATACTTGCGTTTTCTTCAACCATTTTAATGTTTAATGATGCAAAATAAAATTCACAAAACAATCAATTTGCTTGAGAACAAGTTTGTTTACAAAACAGCTGACTAAATATCAGCTGATTGTACAAGAAAATTCTTAAATTTTCCTTGTAAGAATTTGCAAATACTCAGTAACACAACCATCAATTCTGCTCTCTCAATGCATTCTCTTTTACTGGAATTTTGGGTAAACGAACATCATTTTTTAATAATTTCTACAAATTACTGAGTAAAAGAACTAACCTAATGGCATCTGCTGGTTTTTGATCAGTTGTTTCCTGGTAATGTGCAAAACATTTCAGGACTAAATTGTTGTTATCATATTTATTACAATTGCATTCAACAGATCTTTAATGGGAAACGTATATTTTGTAGATAAGCTGTTTTTTACTGGTAGTTGTTAATTTACTCTTCGCAATATTTTTACTTGGCAGAGAAAACGCTCTCATCAGTAATGTTTACTGGAAAACGAAAGAAAAAACTATGATTTGTTCGCTTATTAAATAAATTACCAGAATACGGACACAGCTGATTCAAAATTTATCTAATAAAAACTTGCAAGTGAAGGAAAAAATCCTGGACAAGGCTGAACTTAGCTTCGCTAAACCGTATTTATCATTTGACATATTTTGGAATTATCTTATTAAGAATTGAATAAAAATATTCCTAAAATCAGAACATGATAATTAACCGTCTAAATACTGTGTACTAAGATATTTTTGTTTTTTAAATAATAAAAATAAAATATTTAATGAATATTAAAAAAAAACTATTATTCTGTTTAATCGAAATGGTTGGTATTAAAAGTTAAGTGTTAGGCTAATGAAGGAATGATGTCCCCTCCTTAATTAGCCTTCCACACTTATAAAATGCATAAAATAGAATTAAAACATGAATTTTTTTTATAAAGAATGAATTATTGAAAACATAAATTCCACAATAAAGCTTTCCACTGATCTCATTAGTGTAATAAGAATCAAAAGTAGTAACAAAACTGTCACAAAAAATGGAATTTATTGCAACAATTAAATTCAGTAACTTTACTATAAAAACTAATTTTCCTCAAATGGTGTATGGCCAATAAAGGCGGAATATTATCGGAAGGTACTGAAAACAGTATTGTTATGTACATTTTTATTTGAGAAATCCACATGATTTCAAAATATCAATTTCAAAGCGTATACACGAAAGGAAACATATACGTTTTGTGGAATGGGATACGGTTATTGAATTGGCATTGGCGGGTGGATTTCGTTAATCTAAACGTACTTTTACGGATTTGTGATTTATACACATGCATCTTTTATACCATGTTTACATTAAGAAACTTGATAGTAATAAAATTAAACAATTATAGTTTATATAACTTATGATGTACGAAATATACATTATTTGAATTTTAATTCAACAATAATTATGTAGTTTTAATTTATTTCAATATTTTTTCAAATAGTTGTTTATCTATCATGTTAGACATCTAAATAAATAAAACCACACTCATAATGCATTTATTCCTCAATCAAAATACATAAATATATGCATAAATATAAAAATGATACGATTTTAATATATAATAATGATATCAATTAAAAGATATATCAAAGGTACTAAAACAATGTTTTTGAGTTGAATACTTCTTCTCCTACTTTTAAATATGATATATACACAAACACAATATTAACTGTCATTCATCCGAAAAAGAAACACGGTTGTAATAAGTTTTGTTCTATTAACATTTTTGTTAAATATAGTGTAAAAAAATACAACTCTTAATAAACTCAAACGCTCAATTTCACTATTTAATTTTATTTCTATTCATAATTGCATTAATTTTCATATATCTGTGTAAAATATTATGTTCCATATATACTATCTGTGTATGTTATAGAATTAAATGCTAATAAGATGCAACATTTGTAATAAAAGCATAAAACACAATAATTGTTTAAAATATTTTATTCTATGCCATGTTGAAGTAGTACCTGAAGAAGAACAAGTGAAAAAGCGTTAAGTTCGGCCGGGCCGAACTTTGGATACCCTCCACCATAGAAATACTGAAAAATTGCTGAATAAAAATATAGGGAACATACATTTAACTACAATTCTACCAATCGATTGTTGTAAACCAAATAGAAATTTCAGCAATTTCAATAGGAGTTTTTCCTAATAATTTAGTTTTGAATCCCAATACCGTGCATTAAATATTAAATATTAGCTAAATATTAAATATGTAGGATGTTTTATATAGGACCTGGACCTGCGGGTCGATATAGTTCATTCTCAAACCTCACGTTCTAATTTTTATGTCGATATCTACCAATAGAAAAATGATTACAACATATGGCTAAACCGACTAAATCGGCTATAGTCTTCCCTGCCTTACCCCTTGGCAAACAATGCCATACATTCCCCACTAATAAATAGTTGTTTTTTATAAAAACAACAAACTGGGATTCAGCCTGACTATTTTGCAAAAACAAAATACAAATGGTATCCCAAATAAACCGCCAACACTACTGAAGTTGTAGACGCAGGCACGGTTAAACTGTTTGGTTTGTTGCTGTACACTAGCAACACCAACAAAGTCGTTGTGTGCATTTGTCGCGATGTGACAACACACAACAGTGGG